AGGCAATTCTGCCCAACACCTCCTAGCAACTGTAGCATTTGGAAGTTTCTGCTACACGCGGCAAACAGGAACAAGGAGTAGCTGACTGTGATCGTAACTGGGAAACATTATCCAAAAAGGAAGTACTAGTGAAGTTCCGAAACGGCTGTTCCCAGCCTCCTGACACTCAACACCTCTGCAAATGACATGACGAAAACAGTTTGCCGATAGAAACTGATTAAATGATATGGAGTAAAGGTCACTTATATATAGGCAGATCTGGACAGTTTTGATGGTAATTCAATTATGTATTTTTGAATACCCAAATATATCATCATGCATAGATGTAACAATTAAAATAGGACTAGTACAACCTCCTGAAAGTCCAGATATATGGAACTCCTTGGAGGAGTCTCTGAGCTGCCATATTTCTGTTCCGTTGCCTGATCTACCAAAAACGCTGATAGGCTTCTTTGACATGAAAGTACCATGTACCAACATATAATAACCCCTCTTAAAGCACTGCTTTGTGAAATAAAGAGTGCAGCAGATGCACATGATGGAGGACTACATAACCTACATAACAGAAAGCCGCAACTCCGAAAAAGACTTGTTGGCAACGAGTGACGAACACAGCACGCAGGTAAGCAGTCTACAAAGTCTCACCTCTAAATGAAAATCCCAGTGCTTCTTTCAGTCTTGAAAAGGCACTACAAACAAATAGTAGAAAAACCTAGACATGTCATTGTCTGATTATACTTCACTCAGATCTATCTTACTGCTTCCTATTTCCTCACCTGGCACACACAGACATTCAGTTTGTTTCAGTTATGAAGGACTCAAGTCTGTGATTCAGCCTTCAGGTTAGCACATAAACACCCCTGCTGCGATGGTGATATTTAATAATGCTCTCTAATTTGTCTTTAAAAATATGAAGTATACTTACTATTTCACAATCTAGATTGTGTTTACACAGCTGTATTTATACAATCTAAAACTTGTATTTTATCACAGAATAAGAGGAGGGCTTTGTATTTTGATTCAGATTTACCTGAAAACTGAACAGGAGGATTCCACTCCAAAGCTTTGATTTTGCATGGTATAGAAAGGGTCCAACAAAAACATACTGATCTTCTAAGTTCTTCAATCTTTAGACCCATGGTTCTGATTCAGCATCACCTTTACTCTTCACCAGACACTGGCAGCGCAGGCCTTGCCCTTCAGTATTCCTATCACCCAGTTACATTTGTACACTTCAGTCACACCAGTCGAATGATATAAACTGCTTTCTACTCCATGAAAAGAAAAAGACTCTTTAAAAAATAGCTGCCAAAGTGCCTGGGCATAAACATAAGTTAAAAAGACTATTTTATATGGAATGAAAGCTGGTTTCACTGTTACAGAGCATTTATCTCTTCAAAACTCAAAAAATAATATTCTCATGGAAAAATACAAATGTTCCTCTATTTTACTTGACTAACTCCTCTACTCCCTTCTCAAGTCAACACTCCAGCTGTATTTTTTTGTTTAAAAAAGACTCCTTTTTAGTCACCAGAATCATGTGAACATTTTCATGTAATGTAAATGGATCTATATCAGACTGTCATTTTTAAAAGCTGAAAACTAAGGCTTTTAACAAAATTTGGTCTGTTCTGCTACGCGTCCTAATATTCTGGACTTGATATATTGCAATCTTGAAACAGCTTGCTGAGATGAGGCTGGAAGGACCTGAAAGAGAACTAGCGGTCTGCCAGAAAGAGGACTTACGGTCACGTATACCCACATATACATACACAAACATTTTACAGGCATTTAAGAGAGATAATGCCCATCAGCTGCATGGAAACCAAGCAAAATAGGTACAGACTTAATAGACTTAAAAAAAAACAAACCCATGCTAGTACTCTAGATGTTTGGATGCTAAATAAACGTTTAAAACGTAAAGTAACATGTTACTTTGTAACAGTGTAAAATGTCACTTTGAGACAACCTAAGATACATTATCAACATCCATTGACATCACCAGAAACTGAGGGTATTTGCAATGAAAACACTGAGAAAACTACTAAGCTAGAGAAAGAGTATCCTATGCCAATTAATAATAGTTGAGCTAAACGCTCAGAATTCACATTCCCTAACTAATGTATTCAGTTTTTTTCTACCTTCATTAAACTGCTTGCTCACTGTAACTCTTATTCTACTCCAGGCAGAATCCCACTCTATTCTTAAAACACTTGTTTCTAATTCACTGACATCATCTTATTTTTATAGGCAATTTGATTGGTTTTATTTTATGAGATGGTCTTGCCATTTTTACCAAATCAAGATATTTTATATTTATGCATTCAAAAGTGAAACCTCTTCAGTGTTTCAGGACTGAATATTACCACAAATTTGTCAACTCTAATTTTCCATGGAGTGTTTTCACTAAAACTTGCAAATACTATCAACAAATACAGAAATCCTCATGAATCATTATCATTTAATTAATTACTGACTACAATTTGATTTAGAAAGATAAATTAATAGCTCCTGAAGAAGTTCTCTTGACTAATTAAAACTTCAAAAAAGGCTATCCCAAAATACTTCCAACGCTTTGCACATTTTGGGAACACTACACCAATGGACATAATAAACCGCGACTGATAAGCCAAGAAACTAAGACAGAAATATCTATGTGCAACAAACTAGTAAATGGCTTCGTTTACGGCACGCTTTTTGACCAGTGCTGAGGATCTAAAGATATTAATTGTTTTAAGGGTGCAACTGAGATGCTCCAGTTCCTCTTGGGCATGTTGGAAGGGACACAGAAGTCAGGAAGCATCAAAGCCCTTTATTCCCTTCTTTGGGAGGATCAAAGTTTGAACTAAACTAGCTAGGATTAGAATATTTTGCTGTAGGAAATTACTATATTCCAGAAATGAGATTATGTTAGTTAAAGTGTTCTTTTATTTAGGGTACAACTTTTTCAGTAGACCCTATTCAGGAATAAGTACTAAACAGAGTTTTGGCCAAAAAGTTACACTGAAATAAATTTAACCCATATAGTAAAACTTCAAAGTTTAATTTCTTAATTTTTTTTCTTTTAACCATAGTGATGTATTATCGCTAAAAAGATGGACTATAAAAAGAGAAATCTGGCTCATTCTCAAAAAGCCATTCTTGTTCATGCTAATATAAACAAAGAAATATTTTATTTGGTTGTTGCTCTTCTCTACTCTAGCCAACTACGCACAATATCTCAATCCTAAAAGCTAGATTTATGACATGCTAGCATGAGCAAATTTTAACATCAGATTCAATTAAGTGTCAGATGTCACTCATTCTAAAATTTGACTAAAATAAAAAACTCTTCAAAACTGTTTCAAATTTAGCTTTCAAGTATCTTACCTGAATAGGTGAATACTCTACAGGCTACAACTTTTTGTGCCAGCCTTAGATCTCATCTTTTCCTTTTCTGTTGCATTTTTACACAAAGTTATTATATCCTTTACTTGGTATTTGCCAAAATAACAAAGATCACCAAAGCTTAGTAAATAAACGTAAGCTCTAAGGTAATTGATATGTTGGAATAGTAGCATTTGATCTTACTTTCTAAGTATTAATAGAAAGTAAGATCATATAACTTTAAAATATCAAATTAATTACAGAAAAACCGTATTTTTTCCACAGAGCTATGGTTCATAAACTGATTAGCAGCTCAGAACTGTGAATACAAATATCACAAGTTAATGCTTCAGCTGCTGTTACAGAGGTTGGTACCTTCATAGTGCTGTTACTATAACATCCCTGCCACCGAGACCACATATTCTTATAATAAATAAGTAAATAGAAAAAAAAGTGCTGAGATGTACAGACATTCATATGCACACATGACAGCGTGAACACTGTTTTCACTGAACTGTACTAGTTTAGGTCTACTGCCTGCTTTCTTCAGAAAAAGGAACCTTTGAGCACTTGTCAATAGGCTCAAACATCTTGAAAAGTTGAAAAGGTGAAACACAAAACTTTCCCTGTGCTGTCTTTCTATCTGATCTTTTGTCTCGTATGTTCCCCTTAGGGATGCACGAGAAATCTCTCTGAATAATTCATAAGCACCTAGGCAGAAACTAGCGTATCCTTCCGAACAAAAAGGCTGGGTATGAGAAGCTGATTGCAGCTGTTCTGCTGTGCTCTAGCTGGAAAAAAACAAAACTCGATCCAAAAAACCCAAAACCCTGTGTTAGAAAAAATACTTTAGGAGAAGAAAAAAATCATCAGTACAGCAATAAAAAAAAACCTAATGAAACAGCTGACCTATGATTTATTACATTAAATTTTGTAGGAAAGTGGTAAAGATGCTGCACAGGTTTAAAAAAAACTATTTAAGAATGTATTCTTTACATATACACACATATACATATATATGTATGTATGTATAAACATCAAACATTTCCACCCTTACATTCCATGATTCCTGTCCCACTTACCTGCCAAGGTTTTCCTCTAAGAATTCATGACACAAACAACAAAAACTGATGAAGGAACGTATCCTTGTAATAATTCAAAGTGAAAGGCAGTGGCAACCATTGCTGCAATAACCAAAATTCAATGGGTCAGGAACTAAAGTCCTAGTTTTCAGATTATTTGAGAGTTGGAGGCAGAGGAAGACATCTTTGTGCTTAAAGCTACATATTTCTTTGAGAGAAAAACTGATTCCCTACTTTTCATAAAATCCAAGAAATCAAAGGGAATCAATGTAAAGAATTCATCCTTTAGTCTAGAATTAGGCACCAGAGTGACTATTCTTTCCTCTACAATATCTAACTTCTCTCCTACCACGTTGCCTTCAGATCCTCCTCGTATTCCCACAATCACAGAAGACACAGAAAAGATGATTGTTTTCAAAGCCATGTTGCTAAGAATAGCTCAGATCCAAATCACGTAAGCTATGGGGTATCCACATGAAGTTCTTCAAGATTTCACATTATAACAACATAAGCGGAGATAAAAATACTTATTAACATAGACTTAAGACTTACCAGCCTCTGCATGCTTTTCACATGGGTAGGACTAATAGATAAGGCCTCTTCATACCAGCGCTTGGCTTCATCGATACTTCCACGAAGTTCAGCCACCTGACCTCTCATGTAGAGAACGTTGTGTGACATCGGAAAGAGATTAGCTGCTTCCTGGGTACACGCTGTGGCCTCAGCTGGCTTCCCAATTCCTATGTAGACTTCAGCTGCAAAGGAAGGAGTGAGGGCGAATGAATTTTCTTTATGCTTCCTCATATCATGGATATATGTTGTAACAGATGTTGTATTTGCACATATTGTTTCATTCCAAGCAAAGACATTTTGCAGCTTACAAGAAACTACTATATCTATTTTTTGTAATGAATTACTCTTAAGTTACTTTTCTAAACGTAACAGAAGTTTTACTCTCTACAATGCCTATTCTAAACAACAGAAAATTCTGAAGTAGTTTTTTGTTAGGTTTAAACCTATGTGTATATATATCCCAGTGCTATTTAGGGAGAGAAAAAAAAAAAAAGCAACACAGAACAGCACATGGAGATTCTTAAGGTAGGTAAGAGAAGGGAGTTAATTAGGTGTTTATCTGAATCTTCTGAATCTTGCACGTCAACAACTAAAGAAAAAGTAGTAACTGCTCTTGCTACCATCCTTACATAGCAAGCCTGATTCAGAGTTTCCTATTTCTGAGAAAAGAACCTTTTCACAGAAAAATAATGTATTTGATAAGAAAAATGAAGTTTCCCAGTTAAGTTAGCAGAATGTGTGAATTTTAACACTCTCATTTGACAAAAAATTTGTTCCTATTTCCAAGCATTTTTATCTAAGGTATCCTCCAGAAACTTTCTAAGAACATTTCACTCTGTAGCTTTATAAAAACTGTATTTAACATGAAACACTCTTGGAACCAAATGGGTAGCCTGACACACAACTGCATAAATCAGACTGATTACAGAAAGGAGAAAAAAAAAAAAAAAAAAAGGAGTTCATTCACTCACTAAGTGAATAACTACCAATAGAAGTATTTCCCTTCAATAGCTCTTCAGGCACTCTTCAATACTGCATATATCAATACTCTGCTGGATTAAGAAAATCTGTTGCTGAAAGAGTGGTAGAGGAAAGGAGAGGAATGGAGAGAGAAAAAATGCAAGGAAAAAAAAAGATATTAACGGTTCTGGGTTGGGGCATCTCTTTCTTTCAAATTGGTATAGTCCCCAGAAAATGTGAGCCTCAGTGAGGCGAGGGCCAAGTGATCCAGTCCCGTTCAAGTCATGCTTCTCTCACTGTTTAAAAAAAGCCCAACCTTGCCTTAAAGACTGCTACATCAGAATATCACAGTACAGGAGTGGATCATGGATTAAGCCTAATATTTGAATAGTGATTAGTGTCTTGCTGCCTTTAAAAGAGCTTTCTGCTAACATAATTGCATCAAACATTTAATAGTTAGTACCACTAACTAGTCAACTTCAGCACAGCAGAGCATAAATCTTAATTTGGTGACTCCCATTATTAAAATGCCTAATAATTTTCATCTTAGTTTGTAACAATGACTATCAGAAAAACTGGACTTTCAGTAACAGTTGGAAAGTAAGCACAATTTAAAGGTCCTACTCAACTTCTAGTCTCTTACTGATTTCCTTAGAACAGCTGGCTGGCATAATTATTTTCCTCCTCTTGTGATCTGACCCTACTGATTGGAAAACAGACATTTTTACCACAGGAGCATGCTTTCAGCTCACACTTTCAGCTCCTCAGTCAACCTGGTGACAGAACTCACTCCACCGAGCATAAATAGTATGTCCATGCAGACACATGGATTAAAGCAGTTTATTTTCAGAAAACCAACAAACTGCTTTTTGAAGAAAAAACACCTTTGGCTATTCGAGCCATGACTTAGCTATATATCTTCCTCACCACATAGGAAAGTTTGAAATAGCTTTACACTCAAAGTGCAAAAATCTTTTGGAATTTGTTTCTCAAAAAAAAGGGTATATATCCGGGTTTCCACCCTGTAAGTTAACTGCATGAAAAGTTGCCTCAAAAAGGATATTAGGAAAACAAAAAATAACATGCAAGGAAAAGTAGAGGGGAATGCCTAAGCAAACGAAGATTGAAGATAATGAACGACAAAATGAGATTCCCCAAAGGTGAAGACAAGCACAGTAATATTCATGTGGGGGGTAGGTAGGATTTCAGACAGATAAACAACGAGGAAAGAAAATGACAGTGCTATTTACATGAGAATGGGGCAGGCATTGATATTGGCTCCAAAATTAATGAAGTACTTTTCTGTAGCTTTCTATAAGGAAGGGAGAGAGCGTAGGGAGAAACGAGAATGAGCATAAAGAAACAGGACTGTAGAAAGATAAGGTGGAAACAGAACTCAAAGGTCTGAATAGCCTCTTTCTCACCCTCCAGAAAGAACACACACATGAAATTGCAGATCCATTAACACTTTTATTTTTATTTATTTATTTTTAAAAGGAGATCTCACCTAGTCAGAGATGGTACTACATAAGTGAAGAATAGCAAACCTGGAAGATAATGAAGGGATGTATTTTTGAAATCAAAATCTAGATTTGGAGAATTTAAATAACTTCTCTAGGATTTATCTTTTACTAATTGCTAGTAGAAGCTGAGGAATAAGTTGTAGCCGTAACTTGATAACTGGACATACAGAAAAAAATGTAGATTGCACTAAGATTGCATTACGCGGTCAATGTCATCATGTGAGAAACAAGATTTTTAGTGAGTATAAAATTCACTATGTTATTTTAGTGCTAAGAATTTCAGCTTTCCTGTTTTTTTTTAAATCTGCTCCCTAGTATCATCAGACTTGATGCACTTTTTAATTTACACAAACTGCTGATGAAAAGACAGAAAAATTATCATTCACATAACTCATGACAGATTACAGTAAAAGAAACAAAAGCCACCTACTGAACATCATCCTAAAAAGACCTTGATGCATTTATGAGATATAAGGTTCGTGCTTTTAAACTTGTAAATGCAAGGTAGAAAGAAGCAGAAGTGGATGATGTATACACAAAGACTTAACAGACTAGACTGTGAAAGGTCTAGGTTATAGCTAGATAAAAGCTATACTATTAGCAAATAACAAGCAGAAATTAACTATCTACTTAAGCAATTTTTTATTTGCTACCACTATAATTCTAAACTGGAAAGTGAGTGCGGATTAGTTGAGTTAAGAGACTGCAGTGGAAATTCTCTATTCCTTAATGGGAAACAAGTACAGCAACAATGGCTTTTAACACAAGCCAACAGGGAGAACAACGTTGCTTACAAAGGCAGTCTTATTTAACCCCAGCAGATACTAAATCTTGCTTTCCCACTTATTAACTGTAAAAAAGAAATTTGACCATTATTAACAGATCTTCCTAAGGGTAGTAAATTTAAACAAAATAATTCTGTAATTTAGAAGGGTATTATAAACAGAATTATTTTAAAAAAATATTTCTCCTTTTCTCTATCAGCACTCATACTACCCCTAACAGACTGCACTGTGGCGGTTGTTGTTGTTTTTTAAATAAGTTCCAGAGAAGTTTGGAAAAATTATGAAAGAACAACCAGAAGGCTGACCTTCTGCCCAGCTGCTAAGCATAAGAGTTTATTCCAGATAAATTTCTGAAACTGAAGGACAACTGTTCATTTTGAGAGAATTTCATCTGATGCCTATAAGGCAAAGGCCATACCTTCAAACACATAGCAGTACTAGCTCTGACTAAACCAGAAATTACTTCAAAGCAAAACCAAAAAAACATGGCAATTTCAAACAAATCAGTTGTGGAAGACTAACAATTGCCACCGTAATTTTAGGAACTTCTCAGAGGAGAAACAGTTTGAAGACAAACGAAGTGCCAAGTCCGACGCGCTCTTCTCAATGCCTCCACCTGGAAAACACCTCCCAGGTCAAGCTCTTCCAATGTTTATGCTTACGTTTTATGGAGAAATCAACTCACTTTCCAGTAAAGCTATATAGCAACACTGAGTTCAGTCTTAAGGTATTTCTCAAAGCACCACCATAATAAACCATTTAGGGACAGGGATTTTTATTGGTGAGATACTGGAGAACATCTGAATTAAAAAACGAGGGTTTTTTCATATTTAAAAAAAGTCTAAATTTCCATCATTATACTCTATGCCCAGAAATGAAAGCCTGAAAGTTACTATGTTCAGAAACAACTGTTCTGTTTTTTTAAGACTGAATGCTACGCTCATTTATAGTTCCACTGCTGATGACAGCTACAAAGACAGTGCATATCCATAAGAACGAATTCATTCATACATTCTCTCTCTCTCTATTTTAGGTATTACAGTTTGGGTAAAAATAATTATTAAATTCAGTGTGTATTAGAACTTATTCACATAATTTTCCTGTGTCTCCATAATATGGGAGGAATAAGTCTTAGTTTTTATGTTTTAAGAGTTATTTAAATCATGTTAAAGTTTTTTTTGTTTTTGTGGGGGGGTTTTCCAGAAAAAAGGAAAATGCAACCCAACCGTACCGAGTCAAACAGTTAGACGTGGCATGAGGCTCAAAACAGAAGCAATTTCCCAATAGTAAATCTTCACTTTTATTTAAGGAACATGTGCTGTAAGGCAGCTGTTAAGTAAGTTTATGGCTGTTTTCTAAGCAAGTAACCCACATATAGTGATGAAGACACCTTTATAAAAAAACTGCTTTGTATGGTGCTTCTTGGAACAACTTTTATTCACAGAATAGAGCCACAGAACAGTTGAGGTTGGAAGGGACCTCTGGAGATCATCTAGTCCAACCTCCCTGCTCATCCAGGGTCCTCTAGAGCATATTGCCCAGGATCACATCCAGACGGGTTTTGAATATCTCCAGCGAAGGAGACTCCACTACCTCTCTGGGCAACCTGGTCCACTGCTCCGTCACCCTCACAGGAAAGAAGTTTTTCCTCAGGTTTAGGTGGAACTTCCTGTGGTTCAGTTTCTGCCCGTTGCCTCTTGTCCTGTCACAGGGCACCACGGAGAAGAGGCTGGCCTCATCCCCTTGACACTCCCCCTTCAGATACTTGTACACGTTGATGAGATCCCCTCTCAGTCTTCTCTTCTCCAGGCTGAACAGGCCCAGCTCTCTCAGCCTTTCTTCATAGGAGAGATGCTCCAGTCCCCTCATCCTCTTTGTAGCCCTCCGCTGGACTCTCTCCAGGAGTGCCATGTCTCTCTTGTACTGGGGAGCCCAGAACGGGACCCAGTACTCCAGGTGAGGCCTCACCAGGGGCTAGTAGAGGGGCAGGATCACCTCCCTCCACCTGCTGGCAACACCCTTCTTAACGCACCCCAGGATCCCATTGGCCTTCTTGGCCACAAGGGCACACTGCTGGCTCATGGTCAACTTGTTGTTCACCAGGACTCCCAGGTCCTTCTCGGCAGAGCTGCTTTCCAGCAGGTCAACCCCCAGCCTGTCCTGGTGCATGGGGTTCTTCCTGCCTAGGTGCAGGACCTTGCACTTGCCTTTGCTGAAGTTCATGAGGTTCCTCTCCGCCCAACTTTACTAGCCTGTCCAGGTCCCTCGGAATGGCAGCACAGCCCTCTGGGGCATCAGCCACTCCTCTGAGCTTTTATCACCACCAAACTTGCTGAGGGTGAACTCTGTCCTTTCACCTAGGTCATTGATGAATAAGTTGAACAGGACTGGACCTAGCGTTGGTCCCTGCAGGACACCGCTAGCTGCAGCCCTCCAACTAGACTTTGCATCACTGGTCAGAATGACCCTCTGAGCTCTGCCATTCAGCCAGTTTTCAATCCACCTCACTGTCTTCTCAGCACTCCAACGCTTTGCAAAAATAAGATACAACTCTTTCCAACAGATAGCTCAGCAGGATTTACTACATGACTTGTATCTTGGAGAATTTTAACATATGGTTACCGTTTACATTCAATATTCTAGCTAAAGTTGTGACTCCACGCTGTACAGCGAATATAATGAAAAAATACTTATGACACTAAGTAAATGTTTATGTCTAAGAGCAGACCAAAGCTGAATAATTGTTAAGTGATTTCTTAATTACACCTTTCCGATGTAAATATTAATAAGAACAAATGCAGTGCGTACATTTTAAACTGTTTAAAAATACAATGGATCATCAATTTTTGATTAAAATGCTCTGCAGTAGCCACTTGTGATTCTGACTTAGAGTTAGTTTGGGGCTGGAAGCAGCATAACAATACTCTTTCAATCTGTATAAACAAATAATACAGTTACCCCTATTTTAAAGTTATGGGAGAAATTAAGTGACGGTTTTTGTACAGCAAGCTGTCATATGTTCTATCTCAAAACCTAACATTTACTTAGTGGTTATGGTTTAACATCAACATTATAAAGAGCAGGGAAAAGTAATTATTATTTCATAAGAACAAACATAATATGTTCTTAATGTAAGTAACAAATTCCATAATAATTAAGTCTGATCTGATGACAAGAAAATGCAACCCTGTTAGATCAAAACAGAATAAATGGCAAATTCCATTCACATCAACTGCCATTTCCCTAAATTAAAACAATTAAAAATTGTCTGAAAATGTAGAAAAACGGTAAATTTGGAGTGCATCTTAAGACATTCAGGTGTGATCTGATGAATGAATGAAATACAGAGTATTGCAAGTCCTCAGGATAGCAAGTAAGAGGAGGGACAACGAGAACAGAAAAAGGGGAAAGAACAGAAGATAATTTTACTTTCACAGTACCTGCATGAAGCCAAATTTGAGCCAGAGTCATCCAAGGATGCAAGGGACCTTGCTTGGGGGCACTGCTTTGCAAAGACGAAGCAACCTCAGACAACGCTTGCTCCACTCTGGAGGCTGCTATTGATGTGGCGTGGACTGAACCTGCAGAAGTAATAAAAAAATTACCATCAGAAAAAGAAAATATGCCACGCATGCTACATGAAACATTTGATCTTAACCCTTTTCATAAGCGCTTTAGTTAAAACTCCTCTAGGTTTAATTTAAATGTATTATTTTGTAGAAGTCTTTTGAAATATCTATTTAATTTTCCCTGTTATGAAAGCTTTTGTACTGGTCTGAAAGACTGCGTATTAAAACACGTTAGCAAATATTGGTAACTGTACTCAACACGTTTTTGGGTAGTCGCTATAAACACTCACTGTTAAACTCAACATCTCTCTTATGGCAATGTACGATCCAAAAAAGGGTTTCTGATGGTATTGTACATTGTAATCTTCAGCTTGCTGCATGCACTTTGATGTTAGTAATTGCTACGTCTTTTCACAGAGTGCAATTAGAGGACTATTTTAAGATTAATAACAGCATAAAAGAGAGGACTAAAATACACAAGATGATCACAACATACCCCATGACAAATACACAATTAAACTGCACTGAATGTAAACCTCGGCTAATCAAGAAGGCTGAACTAAGATGCCTTATGGAAAAAAAAAATCCTTTCCATAAAGTACATTTCCAAAGCATAATATGCAAAGTATAATTCTAGTAAAATTAAGCATTTACATGTGAAATTAGAATCTCATTGGCAAATACCGCCCTTTTCAAAGAACTAGAAATGAAAAAGCTTCCATGAGTACAGAATACTTAATGACAACTATACTTCGGATATCCAAAAACTGATAGACTATTTAGTCTTTACTTTTTTTTTTTTTTTACATCTAAGTATCAATGTATCTCGTGTTGTTTTATCATAACAAATTACAAAAACTCAGATTGACTAAGCCTGATTGAGAGAGAATGAAAGTGGAATATTTCATATTGGATCAGATGAGAAGTCTTCTGAGTCCAGCACCATATCTGGGATGGTCACTAATAGCAGGTACTTCAAGGTAAAGCATCAAATCCTATCCCACATCCCAAATAAAATCTTATCCCAATCACTAGCAGTTAAATAATAGACAAAAATCTAGAAACACAAAGGTTTAATACTCTCAATATCAAAGGTTTTCTAAGAATTTTAAAGACAAGGGATTTCTCACATAAAACATGCATTCTTAAGTGTGAAAAAATACACCAGCAGACTAGAAAAGCAGAAGGAAATCCCAGCACAGACCAGCGGGAAGAGGGAGTTTGTCCAAAAGTGTGCATCTCACTTCCCCCCACTGACGAGAACAGGAAGAAAAAAAAATGCTAAAAAAGCGCTGAACATTATCAGCAGTGCTGTCCAGTTACATTTTAATTTGTATTTTCTATATCATTATGAACAAAGAATTTCCCCGAGGATCTGAAACAGTATCTGGCCATGGCATTTGCTTTCTTTTCCCAGGTGATGAAAGATCTCAAACTCCACGCTGCACCACAGTCGAACATTTACTTAATGTTTAAAGCTTAACTTCCCAAGAAATATAAAAGGGAAGTCTAAGCAAGAAAAATATGGAGCATATTTCAAGGATAATATTAGTAAAGCTACCATAAATAAGCTCTAGCCAACAGCAATTTTTTTTTCTTGACTGTCATCCATTTCCGTAAGGCACGTCACTGCAGCCTGTCACTTCCAGGGACTAACAGGGAAGGAACCTTCCCACCTGCCCAGAAGGATTTGTAAAGAAAAGGTGCGATACACTGACAAAAAGGCTATCATCTAATCCTTTCCTTCTGAAAGGCAGTGTAGGATTCAGTTTAGGATTAACAAGGGCCTATATTTTCCATTATGTAAAGCAATCACTGTCTGGTTAATCAGGCCACAAATTATTTCATATATGAAGTGTGCCTGTTAGAGTTTAAGTCTCTGGTACTTGGCTATAAAGCATATAAGAAAATATACTACTAAAACTTTTAACAGAGACATTGACAAACAAAGAGTCATACCATGATACAACTTCTCGGAGCCATAAAAGAATTACTACCTATACTGAAGTTAAAACAGAGTAGTTACCAAGTGCTTTCTATGATAATTCATTCCTATTCTACATTTTACTCTACGTAGCAGGAAGCAGTCCCTTCAGTGGTTTTGTTGTTGTTGTTGTTGTTTTCTTTAAGAAAACTCATTTCACAAAATATTATTATTAAAATGGTTTGTATTTCCTGTTCAACAACAAAAAAAAAAAGATGTTAAAAAGTAAAGTATCTTAGCAATTAATTCTCCAAATAAAACACACACATACACAAAAGATCTTCAAATGTCCTTTTTTCAATCAAATCACTAGGAAATGGCTACCTCTTATCTTTCATTGAATTTATACAGCTGATACAAACACAAAAGTATTTAAAATAATCATGGATATTAACAATTTAAAATCCAACATAGGCCAAATAACTTTACTTAACTCTTTTAGAAATTCAGACTAAAGATTATTCAACAAAATCAACTAAGTTTTTCTACTACAGCTCTATTAATTCTTACTGCCTCTAAACAACATATCAAGTAAGTGGTTTGTTTAGGTTTGAAAAATCAATGTTAAGCTGAAATTCAGTGTCATCTTCAGCAGGTGTGTTTGGAAATATGAACCTTAGAAATCCTTCATGCTTCTGTTTTATTTAAAAGAATAAAGAATTTAAGTATGCTGCAAAACAGCACAAGAGCACTGACCAATTAAGAGAGAGCTAACAAGCACAGCGCCATTCACGGCTTTTTCCAAAAGGATGAGAGACTAGCCTTGTGCGTCTCATCAACACAGCCACTGTATCTGTTATCGCACCTCTAGATCTTTACTGAGTACTTTTCTTTTTTAACAACATAACAGTAGTCTTTTTGCACCATCCAAATCAGGTAGCTTTCAAATACACTGCACTCATGCAGCTAGCTCTAACCCATGAACTTCTACATGCTTCTTCAGTATTTCCACAATTGGTTGCCATTGGGCTCACTTCTGGCTCTTTCTATTAAAACATAGAAAGCTTTCATTTTGCAAACAATTAAAAAAAATTAAAGCAGTCTCCTGAAAACGTTCAGCACTGTGCATTAAAAGCTTATTCTGCACTTCCTCCACATTTTCTTCAACCCTTTTTTCTCTGAGAAATAGGTTCCCTGTTTCAGGCCAGGTGTTTCCAGACTGAGATCTTTGTAATCGCATTACAACAAGAAAATTTACAGTAATTTAAATTAAAGATGGTTAAGATTCATAGTGGTCTGTGAGAAATTGGTAATAAAAAGTAGGTCTGGAAGTCTGCTTTAGCCAGTTACTTATTTGCTGGTTCTCTGCTCTGTTTTGGCATCAGATCTGCTCTCTTCCAGTCTTACCTAGACTTTTCTTATTTTGGTCTGTGTTCAGTAGTCCTCAGACAATCACACACACATCTCACTTTTATCGCTAGAATTCACTCAGCTGTAGCTCCCTTCAAACATTCAGATAGAGCAGCAGTAATTTCCGGTTTGAAACTTTTCTGTATCTCTTCCACACACACACACACACACACACACACACACACACACACACA